ATGCAAATTAATATATATGATATGAGATAGCAGCAGCAGCAGTATTCAAAATCTATCTCATCCATATTGTTAAGCATTTATTAATCTTAAAGTTATAATTAAAATAATTTCTCAAAATCTTAGAGAACATTAAATTGCGATGGCATTCCTTAAAGTTTGACTACTTATATTAACCAATATTCTTCTTTCAAAAATAAGTGTTTCCTAATATTACAAACGCAACAATCTTTTTCAATCTCTTTCCGAATCCAAGTTCCATCTAAACGGAACTCGTATTTCCACACACCCATTCTCGCAAGAGAAAATGGCAACCCCATCTCACAAGTAAAGACAAACAATATATGGAACCGAAATTATGTCGTCGAAGAAAATGAGAGAGTGTGGAACTGTTTTTGTATTGACCCAACCACACTTGTTTAATTATGCACTTTGATTGATCGGCTTCTTCTATACGGTGGCATGTATTCAACCTGCAGACTAGATCAACGATGGTTGTTACATGTGCGTGTGTGTAAGTCATCACTCAGATTTGTTGAATAGGATGAGAGTGGAGAAGAAAAGATAAGACTCACTAAGACTAGTCAAATAAAATGATATCAACGAAGCCCAACTGTCCGCTCCTCACGACAGTCATGAAGTGTTCAATACGTGAGACATGCACTAAAGTGCAGGAAGAATAAATTTCAAGTGAATGAGTTATACTTCTCGATCTCAAATTATAAAATACTTTTAAATAAAATTTTACATATTAATTTATCTTATTAAATGTATTTAATAATTTTATTTTTCAAAATAAAATTATAAACTTTTAAAGATATCTTTCATTTAATGACCTTAAATCTTGTTTGCACCCAAATTGTGAACATGGAGGCCTTGACCCAGCTCAACTTAATTGACTTTAAAATAATTATATAAAAAAAGAATATTTCTAAAGTTTTAGTCATTAAGTCAAAACCATCACCCATGATGAGTGAACATGATGGAGGAAGTGCTTCCTAAATTGAAAGAAAGTGGCAATCATGGGGTTTGGACACCAAGCCAGGGTCATTTATAAATAGAGTAGCTCTCTCTCAACAATTATCATTAGCATCAACAAACTATCAGTCTTAGACTCCGCGTCTGTTGCTTTATTTTATTTTTTCTTTTATCATGTAGTTTTAGTCTTTATTTTTCATTGTACGGTCAACATGGCGCGCCACATTTTTTCTTTAATTAATGTAACTCTACTTATTTGCATCTACATTAATGGTCTTCACTTCGTATTCTCACATCTGAATGAACTGTAGTAAGGGAGCTTGGGTTCCTCGTGTTTGATTAGAAGTCAGGTACTTCCATCCCTTTGAGACCTTGCATTTCTGGCACGCCTCACGATACCATGTTTGATTGTTTGTTTTTTACGAGCAATTTTTGGCATGCTCAGTGGGACTTGTGTGAAAGAAATGCTTAGGACACATAAGGATCAATATATTGTTAGAAAGAATAGACTTGAGTCTTACGACTTAGAGAATGTGGCTGCACACACAGAACGTGAAGTACAAGCTAATGAGAGGTAAAGAGCTCTATTGCAAACTCTAACGGAGGGGCTAAGGAACATCTCTACTATACTATCTAGATCATCACAGGAGCAAGCCCCGATTGGCTCGCACTTTAGAGAATAGATGGACTCGAGAGGCAGTCTCCTAAAGTGCCCTTCAACCAAAAGATCAATAATAAGGATCGCCATAACATCCTTCAAAAGATAAATGGCATGTCTAATTCAATAGTAGGCCCGTTCAGCCACAAAGGCCAGAGCCATTAGGGCCCGCACCATCAAGGCCGAAGTCATTGGGGCTAACACCATTTGGGCTAGCATCAGAGGGGCCAGAGCCATAAGGGTCGAAGTCATCGGGGCCAAAGCCATTTAAGCCAGTACTAGAAGGGCCGGAGCCATAAGAGCCAGCACTATTGGGGTCGAAGCCATTGGGGTTAGCACTAGAGGGGCTGGAGCCACAAGGGTCATAGTCATTGGAGCAAGCACCATTGGGGCTGAAACCATTAGGGCCAGCACCAGAGGGGCCGGAGTTACAAGGGCTGAAGTCATAAGGGCAACAACTAAGGGGCCGTAGCTTTAAGGGCTGGCACCACAAGGGCCAAAGTCAGAAAGAAAAGTTTTGCAAGGGCCCTTTTTACGAGAGCTCTCTCCTAAAAGGCTCTCTCCACAGGAGCCTTGTAACAGCTAGATTTTACAAAATTAGTCCTTAAAGTTAAAAAACTCGAAAGGCCAATTTCAAAACCAGCTCTTGAGGTCCTAAACCTTGAGAAACTTAATCCTAAGTTGGATCACATGGTCCTTAATCCTCAATCACAAGGGTGTCCTTCAAGAAAAGTACCAGATCAACCATTAATCAGAATAAAAATGAGCCGGTTCTTCAAGATATATCCAGACAAAATTGGCCTACGATGACTTTGGCCAATTTGTATGCTGGGGGCATTGTTTGCACCTAAATTGTGAGCATGGAGGCCTTGGACCAACTTAACTTAATTGGCTTTAAAATAATTATATGAAAAAAAAAGAATATTTATGAAATGTTAGCCATTAAGTCAAAACCATCACCCATGATGAGTAAACATGATGAAGGAAGTGCTTCCTAAATTTGAGGAAAGTGGCAATCATGGGGCTTGGGCACTAAGCCAAGATCATCTATAAATAGAGGAGCTCTTTCTCAACAATCATCATCAGCATCAACAAACTATCAGTCTCAGACTCCGCATCTATTACTTTATTATATTTTTTTATCATGTAGTTTTAATCTTTATTTTTTATCGTACGGTCGGTATAACCCGCCACCTTTTTTCTTTAATTAATGTATCTCTGCTTATTTGCATCTACATTAACGGTCTTCACTTCGCATTCTCACATTTGGGTGAACTGTGATAAGGAAGCTCGGGTTCCTCGTATTTGATTGAAAGTCAAGTTCTTCCATCCCTTTGACACCTTGCGTCTTTGGCACGCCTCGCGACACTATGCTTAATTGTTTATTTTTTACGAACAAATCTACAATTACTCCCTTTGTTTTTTTATTGCTAGAGAAACTATCACATTTGACTTGTATTTTTATAAGCAAAATCACCCATTCTAATAAGTATTTATTACATGTTCTCTATATCAACCTTCATAATTTATATTAATGAAAAACAATTAATGTATGGTTATGTTAATTAACATAGGGCATTTTAATTCACTTTTTTTATTTTCAAACATCATTATTATAGTTAACTGACTTTTTAAAACAGTGTGATACAGTTTTTTCTCTTATATATGGAAACGAAGGGAGTATTAAGTACTACATAAAGAGAGATAAAGGGTAATTGGAATAAGCTTATTTAGCAAAACCTTAATGTTCTCCAAGTATCTTATAATTTTAAATAGCAAATTTTATCTAAAAATATCTTAAATTTAAGATGAAGGGAGTAATGTCTTTTAACTATACCAAAACTCAAGGGTTTGTTTGTGAAAGAAGTCAAGAGAGGAAAAAAAATGAAAACTAGAAAAGTGTCATACTTTGTTGATCTAAAGAGCTTATAATATATAGATTAACCTAATGATAACTAATGGATATATCATAACACCCTCCTCAAACTTAAGATACTCTTGAGTTTGTAAGAGCTTGTACTAATCTGGAAAATCTAAACAAAATTTTGGAGTGATTCTCGAAAGATGAATCACTAAGCAAAAAACTCAAGAGTAAAGAAGCAAGTTCGACCAAAACAAACAAGCTTCTCTCAATCTCTGGCAAACTCGAGAGTGATTCTTGAAGGCATTAATCACTGGGTGGGATACTCGAAAGTGATTTTTGGAGAAACGAACCACTACTTAGGAAACTCAGGAGTGATTCTTCGAAGATGACAAACTAGGGAGTGATTCTCAAAGCAATAAATTACTAGATGAAATATCGAATTGAACCATCATGAAAGCAAAATAAAGAGAGAGGGAGGGATAGAGCCTCACTATATAAAACAAAGCTCCAACCTAGACAAAATTGATTAATCAGGCTCACATACCATGAAGGAAGTCATGAGAGAAAGAAATGGAAACTGGAAAATGTTGTACTTTATTGGTCAGAAGAGTTTACAATATATAGATGAACTTAGTAATAACTAATGAATATCCTAATAATATTTAATGAATGCAAAATATTCTCTAAATCTAAGCAAATACATCTAAACAAAAAAACAAATATAAACAAAATAAATATATATAAATAAAATATCCTAACAATTTCTTAATGAAAAGGATGCAAAAACTTGAGATAACATGCAAATAAGAGGATTTCTTATATCTAAACTAGTTTTTTAAAAAATTTAGGAAGCCTTTATAATATTTCCTTCTCTTCAAGATTTTTTTCAACACCAATTTCTCGTAAGGGAAAAAAAATTATACAAGGTAATAAAAACTAAACATTGAGGCATGGATTTAGAATGTTTTTCAGAGTAAACTCCCACCCTCATACTCATATGATCATGCAGCACACATTCAATTCAATTTCATATTTCACATCGTACGTACGTGCTTGTTTACTGAGAAATTTTATTGCAGGTGAATGCTTTGTTGGAAATCCCCCTCCTCCTCTTATTATTAAGCCTATAATTTTGGACATTTTATAATGGCTTGCTTCTTTTCCTCTTTATGTTGTTATATGATCTGGTATCATGTTTTACTTTAGTTTTATATTATATATAATTTAAATAATTTCTAAGAATTGGAAGAAATTTGGAATTAATTTGCTCTAATATCTGCCAGACAACAAGCTACAACCATATCCTGTTGCTGTTAATTTCTTTTTCAAATTTGTATCGGGGTTCGGGCTATTATTTTCTCAACATTGAGTTGTTCGAAGTGTTTGGCTCAAAAAAACCAGAGAGATGTTCGAAGTGGGCCTAGTTTTTTGACTTGAAAGCCCATTTGCTTTCTAGATATTTCTCTCTCGTTTATCCTTCTTTCCTGTGTCTGTGAATCTGTATCCTGGAGGGTCTATTCATCGGCAGTGAAATCGATCATTGTGGGCGCCGTAGGGCATATGCGTCTGTGTCTGGTTCCACTCGAACGCAGGTTTCTGATTACTTTTGGGTCCCGGCGACTTTGTGAATCGGAACATAGCGAGGTATTGCATGTAAAAGGTATGTGGTAATATCATCAGTTTTTTACGATCGGCTTGGGTGAGGGGTTGGGTATTTGTGAGACAGTTCTTTGACAATGTGGATTTCGTGGAACTGAGAACAAGTGAGTTGGTACAGTGTTACAAGAATTCGTATTGTTTTATGGATAGTAAGCGATTTCATTGTCAGCAATTCTAACTTAGTCCTGTCACTTATTATGTAACTGTTGTTTTCTGGGTTTTCGATTCCGACTCTTTAATCCGGTTTTATATATAAAAACTATTACCAATCTTGTTCTTTAAGAGTCTCAGAACTTACCGATGAATGGTCCTGTTAATGAGTCATGCTCTTCTAATATTCAGAATATGACCCTCTTAGACCTTAGCTACTTGCTGGGTTGCATGACCAAGATTATTGATCCCAGAATTCAACACAAGCTATATGCAAGTATCCCTTGTTGGTACAATTTTGTTTATAATTTTGAATTCAGTTATCCAATGGTATTTTGAAAATCACAAGGAACCTCAATGGATAGTTTCATGTATCTGTATATATGCCGGTGCTTGTAAGTTGCAATAAGTTGAATTTTGACTTGAGAGCAATATTCCTGGCATGGTCATTGCACTTTCATGTTATGTCATCCATCCATTGAATCATTCTCCCCAAGTTAAATGTACCATGTATCACCTTGTAGTTTATTTTACCTCTTTTTTTCATTTTTGGTGAACCTTTTTCCTTGCTTATTACTTAGATGTTATTGCTTTATGCATGTTGCTTAAACAGATGTAAGGGATGAGTAAGTGATGTATTCCAAATCCTCAGTATCCTATGATGCTATGAATATGAATGTTTTTGGGCTTGTTTGATCATGTGATAGATAATTCATAAATTTCTTGGCTTTTTGGTTAACGAGAATCTAATCTGACCTTAACCTCTCTATTTCACCCTTGATGTCTCATTCACTCTTAAACATCAAGCAGGATGCCTCCATTTCTGTTGCAATTCATCAAGAGAAAAAGTATGACCAGAAAGAGGAAAAGAAGACACAAAAGAAGAATATTGAAGGGGAAATACCATGCGGACTGGTCAGGTCTCCCTCAAGGTATCATTGAGATGATTGCGGACAAACTGCCTTTAGTTGATCGCTTATCCCTCAGTAAAATTTGCAGAAGCTGGAATGCCGTTCTTGGTGAAGACCTTCCTTGCTGGCAAAGCCATGGACTTCCTTGGCTTCTAGTGTCAGGTGAGCAATGTAAAGAAAGTAGAACTTGTATCAGCATACTAGATAATCGTGTATGGGAGTTGAAGATGTCAGAGGCATATGGAAAATATTGCTGGGGATCATTTCAAGAGTGGCTAATTATGGTAAAAGATATGAACAGTTTCATTCTTGAAATTAAGTTGTTGAATCCTTTCACAAGAAGCCAATTTACTCTACCTCCGATATGGAACTTTTACCACAAGATAGTGCTCTCAGGGCGTCCCTTTGAGAATGACTTTGTGTGTATGGTTCTACACAGCCAGCACAAGGAGCTGGCTTTTTATGTGCCAGGAGTGCAATCATGGCTTAAACATAAGTTGACTGGTGAACCATTTGAAGATGCTGTATTTTGTAAAGGAAGGTTTTTTCTCCTAGATAGAAGTTCTAATATCTGGCAAATTGATGCTAAAAGTATCCACTCTAGCATTAGTAAAGGTGATATTCATTTTGGAACATTGTCTGAATTAGAAACACAGTGTCATGAAATAAAAATGCCAGATATGCCGCAGTTGAATGAAGTGTTAATATTAGAGAGGCATGCTGAGAATTGCATTTTAAGATACCTTGTGGAATCTTGTGGGGAGGTTTTGCTTGTTTGTAGATATTTTCACCCGAAACAAGATCTTGTGCTTGAGACAAAAAAGTTTGAAGTATATTTGTTGGATCTTTGTCAATATTCTTGGAAGAAACTTGAGGACTTGAAGAGTAGAATGTTGTTCTTGGGAAAATGTTCATCATCATCGTTCTTTGCTGAGGAACTTGGAATTGGAATCAGCAATAGCATATATTTTACCAATGATCAGGCTGCTCCTTGGTGGAATGAATGGGATTCTAACCATTTGAAAGATATGTCAACTCGTCTTGGTTTAGTCAAGAACGTTGGTAGAAACTGGGGCAATTTCAAACTTAGAAATGATGATGGGGAGCTTTTTAACTTCCATGGTGATATAGACAAATGGCCGTACACTTGGTTTACTGCACCCATATGGTGGTGCTGCAAGAATGTTCCCCCAATTGAAAGGTATTGAGTCAAATCACCAATATTAAAACAGGTGAATAAAATTTGACTTGTATTTTAAAGCTAGAACTAGTAGTGGGCTCTTTGTTTCGTTAAGGCTGTTTTTGGTGGGAGAAGCCAACATGTAAATATATATCTTGTACAGCCAGCATGGTTGGTGATATGTTGGTTGTGTGTTTTCATTCTGACTATATACCTCTCTCTTGCGACAAAGCTATGGAAAACTGAATCAGTTAGTGAACTGATTAAAGCGTTAGTTTAAAGATTAATAGTCAAAACTATAATTAAAATTTAATCAAATCAATTATAAATAAAATATTTTATTAAACCGGTCAAAGATACTAGTCTAATGATTTATCAATTCAATTAGGCATACTTGTGTCATGCATGCTCATGCTTAGAATCAAAATGCATAATTTGTTTGGTGCTCAAATATTATCTTATTTGTCCTTGTCTTAAAATTTACTGAGAGAAAGTAGTTTAGAATGTTGTCCCTCTAATTTATTCATTAGAGAAAAAGTAGCACCTTATTGTTTAACTTTAATCTCATCAATCTTCTACTCTTAATTGTTTGGCCAAAAAATTAAAAAAGAAAAAGGGAAATTGAATGCACATGCACACATATACTTGACTTTTTGAACTGTATTAGGAGAGTTTGAACTATTGATCTCTCCCACATTCCATCCTTATTTCATGAGTTAGCTTTCAGTTGCGCCCACGTCTTCATGTTAAAAGTAATTTTGTGTGAAACGTGGTTTGATACTAAATCCAAGCACTTTTCTAAAAGTGGTAATATTGAAAATATATACAATTATTGAGGCAAATCTAGACTTGGACTTTATCTTATTACCATTCTTTTAAATATTTATCATAACAAGATTTAAATGGTAATATTGTTTTAACTAACACTAAAAGAACTAAATTGCTAATTTAATAAATTAAAAAAATACCTTTGTACGCACAATGGAAGGAATTAAATTGTTTCTTTGATTAGAGTAACAATTATTTCAACATCAAGACGGGGATTAATATTGAAATTTGGAAGGATAAAAGTCAGGTCTCAAAAAAATTAAATTAATGATATTTAAGTTTCTAATAATTTAAAAAAAATTATAAATATTGATTTAAACAATTGACGATAAATATAGAAGTTAAAATCTAAGAGCTAAATTTGAAATTGAATGTCTTATTTAAAATTAAATTTTGTGAATTTATAATTTTTTAAATTAATATTTTCAATTCATTTTTCAGTAAAATTTATTAGTGATAAAATATGATATTTTCCATTGTCCTTCGTCCATTAATATTCAGTCGGGTGAGAGAATAATTAAGCGCTTTCAGAAATAAAGTATGATAACAGAAATTTTTTTAAAAAAATCACATAAAATTTATAAATGGACATCTCTTTCTTTTGTGAATTATATTACTGCCAGAAACAGGTGAAAGAATCACCACCAGGACAGGACATGGGGGGTTATAAAGAAAGAATCAATTCTAGATAGATGCTCAAGTATCAACCAATCCTTTTCTGATTTGAATATGCCAATCATAATTCAATTCCACTCCACATCCCCTAAACCTAAAACAATAAACAAATAAATGAATAAAGAACCTTCATTTTCAGAGCATCACCAGTAACCCTTCCTAATTCCCTTCTATTTTCTACCACACTTTCTCCCCCACTCAACATAATAAAATATTGTGATTGAGGTGCCTTCAAGTTTTTTTTTTTTTTTTTTTGGGTTCAGGTCAAAAAAGGTTGTGGAGGCATACCATGATCCCGGTAGTTAGAATTTGGACCATAAATCTATAATCCATAAGATCATGATCAAATCTCATTTTTCATGCAAGGACATTATTGATTGGTGCTATATAATTGTTTTTATAAGAGCTCTTTAATTTAGAAATATGCATTTATTTTGTTGAGTTATTGAGATTTAATTCACATAAACTTTTTTTTTTAATATAAGAAAAGGCTCTTTTTTAAAAAACTTTAATTTCATATTAATTTAGTCCGTGGATAATATTGATATCAAATTTAGATTTATATTAATTTAGTACTCCTTTCATCTCAAATTATGTAATAATTTTAGATAAAATTATATATATTAATAAAATTATTAAATACACTTTACAATCTTATATTTTTTAAACAAAAATACAAACTTTCAAAAATACTCGTCATTTAATACTATATTTGTAAAAGAATATTGAAGAGAAAGAATATAATGAAAATGATAAAATTTAAAAACACATCATTAATAAAACTTTTTTAAATTATTTTATAATTTGGGATAGAAGGAATACTATTTTTCTGTTTTAATAACTATGTTACTGTACTCACATTCACAACTTACATAAAATTAGATCAATTTTTTTAAATTATTAATCACTTAATAACTAAAAACATTAGTATTTACAATTATGTCTTTGCCACTATATTTATTTAATGTTTATGTAATAAAATAATATTCTACACTTGATAGTTCATTACATAATAACTAAAACACTTAATTTTCCCTTTCCGTTGCACATTTTGGAGGACTCCATGCATTTTGTTTGAGATTGACCATACAATACAGCTAGATGGAAAGCTGTGATTAAGGAAGAATATTGGAATATTTTTGGGTAAACTAGAACCTGTCTCATAAAGATGGTGAGAGCTTCACGAGTAAGGCAAATTGGGGAACCCTCTTTGGCTATTTATGTTAGGATATTTGGATAGACAGGTGTAGGAAGGTTTTTGATGTGGACAATGATATTCCTTTACATTTGACACTTCCTACGTTCTTTATAGTTTTACTGATGTTGATTTGGTTAGACTAATGACCTTTGTCCTTACCTGTGATTTTATGAGGCATGGATCCCAAAACCAACCAAGAAATGATGTTTTCAAACTAGAAGCAGATGGGTCTGTTAGATCAAATGGTAGTAGTAACTGTGGTGTTATTTGGGATAATAATAATAATGGGGTCAAGGGTTTTAGTTGTAAACTAATTAATGTTCCTTCCGCAATTGTGAAAATCCTTGCTATCATATAGGGACTTCAATTGTGCTGGTCATATGATCTCAAGGAGATCTATATTTACTATGACTGTGTCAAAGCAATCCAACTAATTCAGAGAGGTTGTGAGGATAATCATCCCTTTAAAGATATTATTGATGATGTTAGATTGCTATATCATAGAGAGTGAAACTTAGCTCTCCATCATTTTCCTATGAATTTTAATTTTTTCTGCTGATCCCTGGTAGTTTGGTTGGGCTGTCACACAATATATGTATCAACTTTTATGTCTTTGATTAAGAGGTGGTGGTTGATGAGAGAGATTTCCTATCAAATCTTGTCATTTTGTAAACTTTGACCATTTATGATGCACTTTTTAGTGAAAAAAAAACATCTAATTTATATATATATATATATATATATAGAGCTGTATGATGACTCTCATTATCAACCGAGGCTAACCTCTCTAAATAATTTGATTTGTAACAATATTTAATTTGTATTTGGATCATCTTATATTGTAAAATATAATGGTTGGTTATTGTTCATCTACAGTTCTTTGAACAGTAACCAACCATTATATTTTTTTACTTTTTTTAAAAAATATAAACTACAAAATTAATTGTAAGAAAATAAAATATAAAAATTAATTTTTATAATATAAAAATTGTATAATAAAATATAAAGCTAAGTGATAAATTATATATAAAATATTTTATTGTTTAAATTTAAATTTTAGCTATCTGGGGATAATACATGTCTTGAAATAATAAATTATTCTTTGTATTTTAAAATGTATAGAGTAACAAATTTTTTAAGCTATTTGCATAAAAATAAACAATTTGTTACCAAAAAGATAAAATGATTTTGAATACCAAAAAAGGAAAGATAAAATAATTTGTTATATTTTAACAGTAACCAAATATTATATTTTTTAAATTTTTTATTTTTTGGATACTATAACAGAAAAATTAATTTTTTACAAAAATTAATTGTATAAAATAAAATAAAAAAATAATTATTCTATTGTAAAAATTGTATAATAAAATAAAATATTTTATTTTTCAAATTTAAATTTTAACTATGTGGGAATAACACACATCTTGGAATAATAAATTATTTTTTATATTCTAAAATTCATAAAGTAACAAATTTTTTTGAGTCATTTGTGTAAACATAAAACAGTATGTTGTTACCAAAAAGATAAAATGGTTTTGATTAAAAAAAATAGATAAAATGATTTGTTGTACATATCATCTTATATTGTAAAGTATAATGGTTGGTTTTGTTAATCTATAATTCTTTGAATAGTAACCAACCATTATATTTTTAAAAAAATTAGTTTTTTAAAAATATAAACTGTAAAATTATTTTGTTACAAAAATTAATTCTATAAAATAAAGCATAAAATGCAAAAATCAATCAATCAATTATTCAATATTCAATATATACTATTTTGAATATCGTGTTTTACTATTCTTTATTTTTGTTTAAATTTGATTAAAAAATAATTAATGGATATTTTGTTAAAAAAATATAGATATAGGACCATAATAAAAAAAGGAAGAAGAAGAAGTCAGTGGGGACCTATCATTAAAAACTAAAAAAAAGGTTATTGCAGGACACGTAATTTAATTAACAAAAGTTCTTTACATTGGTTGAACAATTTTTGCTACATAGATTTTCGTTTTTAAATGTCAAAAATTAGACAATATGCAAAAAAGAATAGGATTTTTTTTGTATTTCTAAATATCATATGGGATCCACAGTAAAAATTGATGGTGGATAAAAAATAATAGATATTAAATATATAATAAAATTATATATTTTATTTAGACAGAGTAGAAAAAGTTGGTAAATAATCTAATGAGTTTTTCTTAAAATAAAAATTATAAATTAAATTAATCTAATCAAAACAAAAAATTTGCAATAAAATGTTACTTTAAATTTTATATGTATAAAATAAAAAAATGTAGAATAAAATATAAAATTGACATAAAAATTAATTTTATATGTAGATGATAATAAAATGTAGGATAATATCCTTTAATTTTATTTTTTTTATTTTTTGGTTTTTTTGTTATTTTAATTTTAACTTTAAAATAATATATCATTTAAATATTTTGAGAATAACTTGAATTATTTTTAAATAACGCTTACCCCTATAGTCTTATTTATAGAGTAAAAAGTAAAAAAAAAATTAATCCTATTTATAAGTTAAATTATTAAATTTTTATTATAAATTTTTCTTTTTAACCT